ATGTGAATTAGAAGAACATGAAGGAAGGTACTACATGTCTGTAGAAATACAGGATTCGTTACCCCAGCCTTTTAAAGGGTTAATAGATACTGGTTCACAAGCCACTATCGTATCCAATACCTACTTCCAGCAGGTAATGGACTTAGCAACGGATAAGCCGAAGCTAAGAGATTTCCCCAATGCTCTGTTGAGTGTAGGAGGAAATGCCCTTCATGTTATTGGCAATACATGGTTAAAGTTTAAAATAGGTAACAAAACCTTTAGACACCCGGTGATAGTGGTAGATCTCCCCTATGACCGACTGATTCTGGGTATAGACATGTTCTAGATAATTTACTGCAAACCAATTAGTTTGAATGACTATCTGTTCCTGTCCAAATTAAAGATAATAAAGTTGCGTGCACGCAGAAGTAAATTCACACTGAGACACAAGGTTCAGGGTAATGAAAGAACTTCAGAGAAGTTTAATGGCTTCTGCCAGAAAATGAGTGCGCAGACCCTTATAAAGGCATTATTACATCATTGAAGAAAATCAAGATATAGACAAATAGACATTGTTAATTGGCTTAGGTGCTAAGATGTTAGTAAAATGCCCTCCCCATTCTTAGGTCACTATCTACGTAATTTCTTAACTCCTACAGGTTTTAGCGCCATTTTGTTAAAATGAGGAGCTCACTCGACGAGAGGGGCCTTTTGGCAGCTATCCATTTGGAGCGTAGCTGGCACTTGTTAGTTTCTCAAGGTTAAGTTTCAAGGATTTTAGTAAATACACATTTTATCAAAGCTATTTCTTGCTGACATGCAAATTCTATGTTCTATAGACAAAGCTTCCTTGTAAAACTATGGGGGCCTCTTAGAGGTATAGCAAGAGGATTTAAAGGGGCCTTACAAATTTATAGAGGCCTAATAATTCTACAACAGTCCCCCCTAAAATGTTATTTGCTAAAAGACAAAACTTTATTTGTTAGTATCAGAAGAAGTATTAGCCCAAAGACACAGAAACCCCATGACCGCTGACTTAGTGTTAATGCAAAGTGCAAGTCTATCCCTCTCTTGACCCTAACAGGCTGCAGCACATCCGTCAGTACGGTTCAGGAACACTCTTCACTCCGCTGGTAACCCATAGTGGCTTATCCACTACTTCTCCGTACGGCAGTCTACCCATAAAGACGGACGCTGTCCCTGTACTGTCCCTTCCTAGACTTTCTGCACTTCATCAGTATAAGGGGGAGTTTGTAGCGGAATACAGGGTGAGATGAGGTCTTGATCATCGATTGTCAGATGAGTGAAGGTTGGTGTTGCTTGGTCTACAGTTTTCTGCAGGAATTTCCTTAGGCATGGGAGGACACAACAAATGAGAAGAGCGAGAATAAAAAAGAAAAATTAGTAAGGCAATACCAATCTGGACTAAAGCTCTCTGCCAACCAGTCATCCAACCAAACCATTTTTCCCAGGGATCAGTAACTCCAGAGTTTCTCTTTAACTCCTCTGAGAGTCTATTTAATTTAGCTATGGCCAGAGTGACTTTACCATTAGGACCTGTGTTTTCTGGAATGTAAGTGCAACAAGTCATAGTGTCGGGAAGTATTTTACAGACCCCCCTTTTTCGGCTAAGATCATGTCTAAGGCCAGTCTGTTCTTGAAGGTCATTTGGGATGTGGCCTGTAATTGCTCGGCCAAGCCCTGGAGGGCATCCCTGGTGTAGTTCACGAAGCGCTGTTGGTTGTAATAGATATAATTAATCCAATTAAGGTTTTTGTTGGCAGTGACTATGGTAAAAAGTGATTCAAAACCTACAGCTACTTCATCTCTAGCTTTAAATTCATTAGGTACCCCCCTAGGTACCCCAATGGCATCTATGTAAATGTGGGGGTCAAAACTGCCTTTTACTGGGGTTTCGCGCCTTACTCTGGCTGATGTATGTGGAGGGTCGTATGTGTCATGATGATTATCAGAAATAATATGAATGGGCATGATAACTTTGGCCAGGGTACACTCACCCCACCACTCAGTTTCCAGCCTAGATCTTAACTGTAGATCCCCACATAACCAGTAAATATCCCCCAATGACCTGGTATGGTGTTGCAACAGGCGTATAGGAACAGTTCTGTAAGTGGCGCAATAACCTTTAGAAAAATTACCCATGAATTTACCAATCCCGTCAGACATGGCATAACAAGTGTAATTACCTCTATAGACTGTGATTCCATCTGGTGGCTTAACATTTTCAACTAAGAGAGGGTATTCTGCCGTCCATGCCATGCAGAGGGACCTATTAAAGTCATATTGGTAGGCAAAAAGGCTTAAGAAGCAATCTTCTATCTCTAAAGGGAGAGTTAGGGGGACGGTGCCAAGGTGGGGTTGGGCACCGCCACATACATAACATGCTGTTTTATTATGTTTGTTGGCATTATACCTCATCCATTCTAACCACAAATTAATGTCATTGAATCCAGTTTCAGCGGCCATGGTATCTTCAAAAGTGGGGTTAGTGATGGCCATCATATCTTTAAAGGACTGGATATGTGGTTTTAGCGGATTTGGGACCATATGATCAGCCCCTTGCCACTCTGGAGAGTGGTACATATCTCTGAGGTAGAAATGACCTAATTTGTTTTAGGAACCTTTCTTCCAATACATTCCCATTACATATCGGTCTGCATCCTCGGGGCCAGGATGTTCAATATTTAACATTAATTTCATAGGGGTACTTCCTCCAGGCTTTCTTAAAGTCATTCTTTGAAGGAGGGATCTACCCTGATTGTCTATCTTAGATAAAGCACTTTTGGGTTTATAACCCCAGGCAGGCCCAGTATTCCATCCCGCAGCCCCCCAGTAGTTAGTCATAACCCCATTGTTCATCTACTACACAAACGTAAGGGTCTTTTGCTTGTGGTATATCTTTATAAATGGCTTGAATCTGTGACTTAGGGAATGGGCATTCTACAATATCACAGTAATCAAAAGTGAATGTAGCCACATGGGTACATGATGAATTATACCAGAAAGTGTACCACTAGCATCTTTGGTGATGGCCACCTGCTGGGCTTTAAGGAGGCCAACTAAGGAGATAATGTACCAGAGGCACATGGTTGCATAGAATTAGCTTCCTCTGGGGCAGGTGTCTTCTTGCAATGGGAAGCGTGGATCCAGTTAGGCCTTCCGGACAATTTGACAGAGGTAGGGGAGATCAGGAGAACTTGGAACGGTCCGTCAAATCTTGGTTCCAGGGTATGTTTTCGCACAAATTTCTTGACCAGAACCCAGTCACCGGGGAGCAGACTGTGGTTGCCTGTGTCAGAATCAGGATCTGGAATTGAAGAGAAAACTTGGGCATGGATTTTGTTCAAAGCATTTGCGAGTTCAGTTACATAATCTACAAAAACATCAGTTTGAAGTTGTAGTTGTTGGGGAAAATAGCAACCTAGC